GAAAGCACCCCAAAGAGAGGCAGCTTAGAAAATGGGATTTGGTCACCTGGTCTCGCTGGTTTCCAATCCGTGCTCCTCAGAACTCCTTTATTCTGTAAAACAGCTTCCTGGACCTTGAAAAGTAGGAATGGAGGCCACCTTTGTGTCAAAAAAGAGCACCCCACATTTCTGCATTCTACATATCAATTGGTGGCATATGATCACATTTGGAAAAAACTTCTGCTTATAAAAGGCTGGAAAACCCATCCAACTGCCTGAATAGAGCCTGAATAGAGCCTAGAGAAGGGGAGGGGGCTGTCCCAAGGTCACCGAGCATGGGGGAGACTGAGTGGAGATGCCCCTTGCTGTGGAGCGCATGTGTGAGCCGAGGGGAGGGATCTGCCAGGCCGGTTCAACTCCACTCAGGGCAGCAGGGGGAGGACCACATGGCCATAGTGGGAACTGAAGGTGACTGCCAAGCTCAGGCATAGGGCAAGCTGTTACGTATTTTGGTGGGCTTTGGAGGGATGAAATCGGGTTCTCACATGCTGGCAAGTTGAAAATCACTCAGTCTGAGCACCAGTTTAAAAACCACACCCAGAGCCTTTTTCCCGGAGGCCACAACTGTAGTGGGATCCATTTGTGCAGCTCACCCACCCGGAGCCCCAAAGTTAGGCAGGATGATTTTCACTCAGATTCTTGTGCCAGCTCAGCTCTTGTTCTAAAGCTTTTCTAAATCCTCTGGGAATAGAAGGACTCTTGGAGGACACATGTAACTTTTTTCTGTTGTGTGAAAAAGGTTGACCAGCAGCCTTCCTCTGTGCCTGAGAGCTGCAGCGCTGTGGACAGGGATCTGCAGCTGTATCTGATGAGAGAATGCAAGGGAAAGCAGGAGGGCTTTCTTGTGGTCAAAGTAGTTAATGTTTAAAAAGCAATAACTTTGGTCTGATCATAAAAGGTAATGTGACCTTGTCGAACATTTGCAAGTACAGAAAGAGGGTTAAAGAAAAACTATCCTATAATTCCATCACTCCTATTAAAAGAGTGTTCCTTCCAGCCTTTTAAAAATTAGTTTCTATGAGGTTGAAAGAACGTGGGCTATATGGTTTCACAGACTGGCTGCCTGGCCTTGGGTAAATTCTTAATTTCTTTTGGCCTCACCTCCCTCGTCTGTAGAATGGGGCTAATCCCTACCTTCGAGTGTGGTTGAGGGTTGAGAGAACTGGATGACAAAAGCACCAGAGTATGTGCTATGTAGTAAGCGCTCAGTAAATGGCACACCCACCTGCCTGAGAGCATAGTGTATCCAATTACACATCCTGTATTTTTAACTTGTCATGGGCGTTATCTCAGGTCTGTAAGCCTTTTGTTAACATTTTTCAAGTCTCATATCTTATCATTAGGATGTACCATTATTTATCAAGAATTCCCGGGGCTGGCCCGGTAGCGCAAGTGGTTAAATGCGCATGCGCGCGCTCCACGCTCCACTGCGGCGGCCCGGGGTTCGCCGGTTCAGATCCCGGGCGTGCACCAACGCATCGCTTGTCAAGCCATGCTGTGGCGGCGTCCCATATAAAGTAGAGGAAGATGGGCATGGATGTTAGCCCAGGGCCAGTCTTCCTCAGCAAAAA